AACAATTCTTCTGTTTATACATTTTAATTTTTCGCTATTATTTAAAGGTATTTTTTTTATCTTGACAGAATAGTTTAATTCTTTAAAGACAACTTATTAGATTTAGGCAACTTCTCATATATTTTCCCGTAAATACTGTTGCCTGCCTATATTTTATTATTGATTTTATTGATTATACTTAATTTAAGCGATGTTATGTTATGTTGATAATGGGGTGTTAATACACTGCGACCTAAAAGATCTATTGTGCCCCCTTCTGTCGCCACTGCACTAAGGAAATGTCTCAATGCCTATAGCGACCCTTCCAATCCTATTTTCTCAAGGAAGTGTAGGATTTGAAGTGGCTTCAAGTTAGGTAAGTCTCCCTCTTCTAATTGATATCCTCCTAGATATAGTGCCCTTGGATTCTGGAGTGCTACACATTCAGTTAGGATATGAATGGAGGTTTCGTCCTCCTCCTCACAGAATCTGCACTCACTATCCTCTACTACTCTCAGTTTACTTAGGTGTCCTTTTAGTCGGCAGTGCCCGGTAAGGATCCCTGTTACAATACGTAGCCTGTTCTTGCTCAGGCAGATGCAGGCTTCCGATCTTTTTTAGTTATATTCACCCAGAAGTATCTTGGCCTGTCTCAGCCCCAAGAGATTGTTCCAATTATCGGTTCTTCTACTACCCAATTCTTTTTTAATCTCTTCTAATATTATGTTACTGCTGATACCGCAGAACGGCTCAGGTCCTACAAAGGGTGTTTGAGGCCCTTTCCTTGCAAGACTATCTGCAATCTCATTACCCTGTACCCCGTTATGTCCCGGGACCCAAGTGAGAGTAACTCTATTTTTCTCGCCTAGCTCATTCAATTGTTCTAGGCATCTCCATACCATTTTTGAGCTGATTACGTAAGAACTCAGCGCTTTGATGGCTGCTTGACTATCGGACATGATGATAATCTCTTGTCTATGATAGTTTCTCTCGATGTTAAACTGGATACACTTCTCGATGGCGTGAGTTTCCGCCTGGAAGATGCTTGGGTATTTTCCCAAGCTTTCGGAGTGCTTGGTTCTCGGCCCATACACTCCTATTCCAGTTCCTTCTATGGTTTTGGAACCGTCCGTGTACCACTGAATAATAGCACGTCTTTCGGTTGCAAGCGCGATGGATTCTTGGCTCCATTCTTTCTTGCAGCCCAGCTCTGTGGTTTTGAAGTTTTTCACAAAACTGTACTTCTTTTGCATTTCATCCTGGGGCATGTCCCAGGTATCTTTAGTCCTAAAGCAAGTAGACTTTCGTCTGATTACTCCGCTCCTGATCATTCTATATCGTGTCCTTTTTGCCACATTCTCTATCATCAAATGTAGAGGGGTGAGGTTTAAGATCACCTCCATTGCGGCCGTAGGACAGGTTCTCATTGCACCAGTAATGCAAACACAGGCTAGTCTTTGTACTTTTGAGATATTAGCTCTCGTAGTAACTAAACTAGTTCTGTTACTCCAGGCTATAGCCCCGTAAGTGATGATTGGTCTCACTATTGCAGTATACATCCATCGCAGTATGTTTGGGTTACATCCCCATCGTTTGCCCGCCATGTTTCTGCATACCATTAGGGCTTTTGTGGCCTTATTTACTACTTCCTTCTCATGTGTGTTCCAGAGAAGTTTGTTGTCCAGGGTTAGGCCTAGATATTTGAATTCATTTTTTCATTCTATATCTATCCCGTCTAATTTTACGGTTTTGAGATTAAGTTTTCTTTTCCTTGAAAAGGCTACTAGTGTTGTTTTTATAGGGTTTATACTAAGTCCCACTTCACGGCACCATCTTTTGGTATGTTCTAGTCCTCTTTGGACTATATCACACAGGATATTACTAAACTTGCCACTAGCAAATATGACTATGTCGTCGGCATAACCTTGACAGGGTATGCCGAGGTCAGTCAATCTGCATAGAAGTTCGTCTACGATTAGGCTCCACATTAGTGGGGATAGAACTCCTCCTTGTGGACATCCTCTGGTTGTGCAGATGGAGATGGTGTCCTGCCCTATCTGTGTCTCTGCAGTTCTCGAAGATAACAGCTGAGCCATCCATCTGGATGTGATGTTATCTACTCATCTGTATGCAAGTGCTCTTTTTACAGATTCGTGTGGCGTGTTGTCAAAAGCTCCTTCTATGTCTAGAAAGGCACACACGACCGTTTCTTTGTTTGTCAGTGCATCCTGGATTACATCAGTCAACTGTACCAGGGCAGTTTCTGTAGATCTTCCTGCTCGGTACTCGTGTTAGCTGTGGTGGAGTGGCACCCTCTCCAGTACTTCTGTTCTGATATAGTTATCAACAGCCTTCTCCATTGTTTTTAATACAAAGGATGTGAGGCTGATTGGACGGAAAGATTTAGGATGTGTGGTATCCTTTTTCCCTACTTTTGGAATAAAGGTGACTCTGGCCCTTCTCCATGCTTCTGGTATATATCCCAGCTCCAGACTGCTCCAGGATAGCCGGATTATGTGTGGTAGTAATTCCTCCTGTGCCTGCTGAAGCAAGGCAGGAAATATTCCATCCACACCTGGAGACTTAAACGGTTTAAAAGTGTTTACGGCCCACCTTAACCGATTTCTGCTGCATATATGCTTGGCCACTACAGCGGCCTCTCTTGGGGGTCTGCTTACCTTAGTTGTGTCCCTTATTAGAAAAGGTGTGCTTCCAGGAAAGTGAGTTTCGAGTAAGAGGCGAGCTCTTTCCTTCTCACTCTCCGTGAAGCTTCCATTTGGTTTCTTTAATGCCATAACTGTATCAACTCTCCCTTTTGCCAGGACCCTGTGCAGTCTCGCTGCCTCAGGTGTAGAGTTAATATCCTCGCAGTATTTTCTAAAGCTGTTACGTTTAGCTTTCCTGATTTCTTTGTTGTAGGTAGTAAGCGCCTCGGTGTAGCTCTGCCAATCTCCGCTGTGCTTGGCCCTATTATAGAGCTTCCGCACTTCGGATCGATAAGCGATAAAAATATTTAATAATTATAAATTAATGTTTTACTTGTTTTATAAATCCATATACTTTTATTAAAACTAACATATCGATGTGATTCCTCGTAAGTGTTAAAACGCAACTTTTCAGGAGAGGAGAAAAACTGTATAAAAACGTTTTTTTTTACACTGGATGATGTACAACTGGAATATTTCTCTATTACAACAAATTATATTATTCTTAGCTGACAATTAAGCATTGACACGATTTACTTTTTTTTTAAATGCACATACGAGGTATCACGTTTTAAAAATTATATAAAAATGTAGTTACGTAAAATCACTCTTAGTGAGAGGTGCAAAATTAAACCATTTTTGCAAAAAGATTCTTTATTTTAAGAAATACTACACAAAAAACTCATGAAAACTATAACAATTATTCCATTGTTTCTTAATGTTGAACTCAAATTAAAAAATATAAAACAAGAATTTAACAAAATAATTGCAAGAAATGTATTCTTTTTATTTTCCTAAATGGGGCAAGTTATCATAAAAAGAGTGACAGTCTTTAGGATGCACAGCCTTCAATTGTTGAAGATGGTTCCATTTTTGTTTCCTAATTTTTAATGGTTTGCTTCTCAATTGTGGAAACGTCTTGAGGTCAGAAACAGATTTATTATCTTTCTTTCTTCCTGGAAGGTTCTCAAATTCTTTGTCAAAGCCAAGTTTAATTTGAATACTGCCATCTGGACTATATTTTATGACTTTAATATCATTAACTGTCCGATCATTTACTTTCTTGCCAGTCCTAATGGAAGCAAACTTTTGATTTTGGGAGTAGTCTTTGACGAAATCATGAGAGATGTTTTTAACTTTATAGGGTTCTTTTTGTCTGGCTTCTTCAGTTATTCTGCAGTAGTCACTAGGCAAATAAATTGACTTGTTTTTTAGATTTCTTTCGATTAGCGCGTGAACCAAATCAGCTTCCATTTGGGTGTGTCCCTTCTCTAAATATTTCTGATAAATACAAATATTTTTGTGGACACTTAAACTTAATAAAGCATTAGACAAGACTGAATTTTTATTTTGATATCCACATCCGTCGCTCCAAATAATTAAAGGTTTTGAAATATCTTCCAGGTCAAGAATGTAATCAACTATGCAACTTGCAAAGGTATTGGCAGTTAAATCTGCTTCACACTCGTTGAACCAGTAGCAGCAGCAGCAATGATGTGTGGTTATGTTGAAAATCGTAAAATTATGGCAAAGTATGGTTTTATAATACAGGGCAGAGGCGTTCAAAAAGGGACAAACTTTAACTGCTTGAACATCCTGTGTCAAAACAATTGCTGCACCTTGTTGACCCATCAATTTTTCCTTGGCCTTTTCTTCTCTTGCTAACTGTTTTTTCTGGATGTGATTTTGATAATCAGCATCACTTATATTTTTTGTTTCATAGCCGCAGCAGATATCGCATTTATCCTTTTTTTCTTTGATCATATAATCAAAAGTAAATCTAGAAACTGGCTTTACTGTAGGATTTTTTTCACTGCACATCTTAGAGTATTCTCGGTAAACCGCTGTCATAGAATCCCCATAAATCGGCTCAATATAAACTTTTCTAGTTGATTGTCTACAATAGTGAGAGGGTAATTTTGGCAATAAAACTAAAAATTCTAACAGGTATTGTTTAGCTAGTCTAATCAAACTTGTGTCTTGTGCTCTTATCTTTCTTCTAGATTCTTCTAGATTGAGAATGAGATACCCAATTAGAAACAGTCCATTCAGTTAGTGCAAAGGTTGAAAGGAAAAAGGGTTTACATACAGGTAAAATTTGTACGTTGACATCCTTTATTGTGTATTTTAAGCTACTAGAACGTCGTGTTTTCTCACCTGCACCTTTAGTCGATCTTGTCGTTAAAATTTTAATAACAAGAGAAGCAATGTACACCTTTTTCTAGTCCTAGCTCATATCTGACCAAAACTTTTTAAAGAGTTCTTGTCTGTTCTCTTCTGAAATTGTGTGACTTTTGCGAGTCTTGGATTTCTTACACAAGGTTGAACCACAGCGTGGCCCTATTTTTCTTTCTTCTCTTTTTGTTCCTCTCTTTGCTGGCGTATTTTTCGGTCTGCTCCAACCAACGTATGCCTTTCCTTCTTGTCTTAATTTTTTGTTTTTAAAGTCAGTCCACTTCTTTTCCGTTGCCATACCTTTCCTTTTTCTACTTTTTAAAATGACAGCATCGGAATCCGACGATTCTGCCGCGCTTTCATCTGGTACAAAATTAGGGTCACGTGGTTCTTGTACTGTTTGAGTGCATTCTTCTACTTGTTCGTTTTCCTTCTCTTTCACTATTTGAGTATGTTCTTCTGTTTCTGGTGCATGCGTATTAAGATTTGATTTTGTTGATTGGCTATGTTGCCCAACTTCCTCTTCAGGATCGATGTTATTTGTGAATTGTAGAACATCATTAAACTCCAAATATTTTGTTATTCGTTCGTCAGCTTCCGGGTCTAATGGTAGTAAATCATTTTGAGTAGCGTCAGTCATGTTATTTAATATTATGTCGATAACATTATTATTACCGCTGCTGATATTTAAGGAGGAATCACTCATTAGTGGTAAAGAGGTTCCTTCGGGAGCATTTTCAAAAAGAACATTTTCTTCTTCCAAATTTTTGGATGCAGCCAAGTCGTCATGTACAGATAAACTAAGTGTAGGTTGACATTGTTTATCGATTAAAGGATTACCAGATATTTCTTGTCCAAGTTCGTCGTACCATGTACATTTTTCTAAATTTAAAGACAATTCATCCTGTTTGTTTGTTATAATAGTGCTTTTAGTGTGTTTCGCACTAACCATTTCAAATATTTTCCGAGTTCTGGACGAATATTTTTGTTTATCTTCCATCTTAAAATTTTTTGTTTGATCTGAAACAATAAGAGTACATCATTAAAAATCCTGATTTGTGTCAACATTAAGGTGACAACTCGTTACTTTAAGAGTGAATAAAAACAAATTGACAGTGATACCTCGTATCTACAAATAAAAAAAATAGGGCTTAAAACTTACGTAAATTAGGAATTTATGATATAAGTCCTTAAAAGGCAACCTAAGATATTGTTTTTTAAAGTATTTATTACAAAACAATTGACTTACTACTAAAAAAAACATAAAAAAGGCGTACTTACCGGCAGCAACCACGTTCTATTACAATATCAACACTCAACTGACATAATATACGAGTTCTCACAAAATTATGTTAGCAGCGCAGTTGCCAGATATCACTACAGGTTGTTTAGTTCGGATTCATGTATAAATACACTTACGTGGTATTATTGGACAAATGAAGCGATTTTTTTTTAAATTTTCATTACCTTAACTCATATACACTAAAAATGAAGATACGAGGTATCACATCTTAACCGTCGATATATACTTTTTAATTACGAATTCTATTAAAAATTGTATTTGTCGGTATACGCAGAAATAGTCCATTAGTACCTAAATAATGAATTGGCGCTGCTGTCACGCACGGAGCGAATAGAAAAAAAATTTTTAAGCTTAAACCAGAGAACAAATTTATACCCTTACATTAAATACGCCCATTGTTCAATATTACAATTTGTGTTATAGACGTGCAAATAAGTTGGTTATGTAGATTGGAAAAAATTGGAAAAGATTTTTGGATATACACAGTGTTACGTTTTTGCCTGGCAAATGAAAAATTATTTTTTAAATCGTGTTCCAGTTTTAGAATCGCTGTATTCAACTGTATAATCTTTTTGAAATATTTTATATAGTTGAGAAGCAATTAACTTTTTTGTGAAATGATAGAATAATGTAGACCCTAAAAAGTATCATAAATTATGTAGGTTCGCAAGGATTTCATTGTTATTTAAATTACACACTAATAACGTAACAAGATAACAAATAGTAGGGATTAGTAGGGTAGCGTAAAGAAATTGTGTATTTTGTGAATACAAAGAAATAAACTTTTTATCATTGTTTTTAAAGTGCTGCGTTCTGGGGGATTATTTTCAAACTTGGGGAAACTCATTTCTCTCAAGATTTTTACGAAAAATGTCTTGCGTTAAAATGAAAACAGTACCTTTAAGCTCAGTGCGGATTAAAATTCTTTGGAGAATTTTTATTCCCTCGAAATAAACTGAGAGAAACAGTGAGCGATTTCTCATTGGCTTTAAAAATACTGTTTTTCCGTTGACGTATGAGATGTCTCATGTAGTCTAAAAAACAAGTTCAAAAGCGTGTCTTTGGGACATACTATTACAAAAATTATGTTCAGTAGCTCATTCGATTCGGAATAATGTCTAGATCAATGTGTAAAGAAAAATTTTGCAGTGCATAAAAATTGCAAAAGTTATAAACAAAACACCTCAAAAACATGGTGTTTGGTTTTTCGCCTATAGTTTGTAAACTATAAATATTTTTGTATTTTTCAAAAAAGATCCTTAAAATGGACAAAATTTGCTATAAATAAGTTTTGACTCTTGGAACTGTACCTCAATTATTTATAATTTTAATTTAACGCTTAAAGTAGCCTTCCGCGCGCCATTTTTAGGTTGTGCGCACGGCGTCGAAACCGAGTACGTTACATAAAATAATTTTTTTAAGGAGGTCCTTTCGCCACCAATGTTAAATAAAAAATATTAGATTATGACTAAAATTAATTTTTTTCTAATAGTAGATGTCCTTATTTATCTAATAGTGAACTTTTAACTATACCTTACCGTGCAAATTTTTGAGAATTTTTTTTTTTTAAATATGTGTGTTTGTAAAGTTTCTTATGAGAAAGTAAGACTTCAACAACAATGTTCGAATTATAATTAATTTTACTATTATTTATTGATTAGATGGAGTAGAAAAAATCTAAAAATAAGGTTTTTGAAATATTTAGGTTTTGTTTTTTACAATAAAATATATAGGTTACCGTGGAATTTATTGAGAAATTATTATTAAAAAATCACAAAAAATGTTCAACTAGGTTACTTGAAAATTTTTTGTGATTTTTTAATATTAATTTCTCAATAAGTTCAACGGTTTACTATATATATATTTTATTGTATAAAACAAAATCTAAATATTTCAAAAACCTTATTTTTAGTTTTTTTCTACTCCATCTAATCAATAAATAATAGTATAATTCGAGAATTGTTGTTGAGGACTTACTTTCTCGTGAGGCACTGTACAAATACTCACATTTAAAAAAAAAAAAATCAAAATTCAAAAATTTGCAAGGTAAGGTATAGTTAAAAGTTCAGTATTAGATAAATTAGGACTTCAACTACTAGAAAAGAATTAATTTTAGTCATAATATAATAACTTTTTTTTTAACATTTCACGGAAAAAAATTGTAGAACAAATTTCTACAATTGTAGATTTTTTCTCTACAATAAATAGTACATATAGGGACAGGGACAATTTGTAGTAAAAATTTCCAAATATTTGTGGAGAATGTATTGTAGAGTTATTATCTACAATATTTAGTAAAAAGATCCAAATGCATCATAAGAATTGTTCTACAAATTGTTATAATTTTTGCTATTCATTGTATGAATTTATATTAAAAATGTATTGCGTTTTATGAAAATAAATACGAAAATTTTACACAATAAATAATAAAAATTCATACAAATTGTAGTAATTTTTAATAAAATTTGTAGTAGTATTCCATAATTATTATAATTATAACCTAGAAAAAAATATTCCTTAATAAAATATTCAATTTATTGTTTTAATATAAAATATACAAATTCTTACTTACAAAATGATGGTGGGTGAGGTTGTCCGGGTTTTCCTCACCTGTAAGTCAAATGGCACCATCAATCAGCGCCACGGCAAATAATAATAATAGCCTTCCCTTTCCCCGGACAAGCTCAGCTTTTGGGGTTAAAATTCACTCGTAAGGGGGTGAATTAGGGAGAGTATTATTATTATTATTATTATTATTATTATTATTATTATTATTATTATTATTATTATTATTATTATTATTATTATTATTATTATTATTATTATTATTATTATTATTATTATTATTATTATTATTATTATTATTATTATTATTATTATTATTATTATTATTATTATTATTATTATTATTATTATTATTATGTAATAAATAACAGTAATAATAGCGCCCTCAGTGTCAGTTGGCTTTTCTGCACCTGAAAAATATGAAATAAAAATTAATACCAATTGAATTGTTCATACCCTTAAAACGGGGATATTTATCACCTTTACACTGATCTGGATATTAAATGACTAAGTCAGATAACTAACAAAAATGAGAAAGTAGGTATGTCACAATTAAGACAAAAAAACATCATTGAACTTGGCACAAAATTCGATCGTTGGGCACAACATTCGAACGTTGGCCACAACTATTTTTTTAAAATAATCCACTAAGGTTATTTAAATTAGTTATCTAAAGGTAAATTATTTAGAAACAATAATAAATGTACTTACCACCAATAGAATTTATTATTAAAATTTTCTCAAACGCATCGGTGTTTGTAATATAATAATGTGTTATAGGTACTCGTATATGTACCATGCTTTGTTATGTGAACATGGCGAACGGCTACTGCTGTCTGGCCGTTTATGATCGACGTCAGAAAACGTTGGCCAATAGCAGAATTCTGTTTTGTTTACATGACTTAGAATTTCTACAATATTATAGAATATTTTTGAAGAAGGGATGTAAAGTATTACTATTTTTTTTAGAGAAAATTACTATTTTTTGTAGAGATAATTATTAATATTTGTACAAATTTTTACAGAAGTTAGTAGTAGTAATTACGATAATTGTAATAAATTTCTACTTCTACAAACAATAGTAAAATATACTAAATATTGTGCACTTCTTTCCTATTGTTGTAGCATTTTATTCGACAATTCAATTGCTACAATAATTAATAGTTTTTAACTATAAATTGTAGTAAAATTTTCTACAAGTTGTTAAGTATTTTTCTACAAGTCTACTACTACAACATTGTAGTAAAATTTTCTAGTCACATTTTTTTCCGTGTTGAGGCGAGAGGCGTGGCGAAAGGACCTTCTTAAGTTAATGAAATTAAATTCAAAAATGATAAAAAATTACGGTATATTCTAAACACTTAGAAGAATTCGTTTCCGTTGGAATTTTTCATAAAATTTAATTTTTCAACAAAGTAGGTTATTGTTACTTAACAAAATTTTTAGAATTTCTCTCATTACAAATTGATAAAAATATTAAATAATTACCGTAAATTTTTTTTGCTTCGTGGAGCTCTTTTTATATACATATAAAACAAAATAGCTTTATAAAAGTTTAAAAAATGTTAATACTTTGTTAATAATAATTTTTTAAAGTTTACAAAAACAGAAAAGTCACAGTGGTGCTATAAAAAATTTTTTTTTTCAATTTATTATAATATTACTGTTTTAATGTCGAGAAAAGACATTTATTAATTAAAAAAAAATGTTTTTCCTCCATTTGTTTATAAATTTTTTATAAACAAATGGAGTATTTCAATTTTTTTCAAATTTTTTTTTACAACTTTCTAGACAATTGCCAATTATGATTTAAAAAAAAATTTTTTTTCTAAATAATAACTTTTAATTGTTTATAATCGTTTTTTCAATATATCTATTGTTTAAATTATTAGTTAAGAAATGTGTTTTTTTTTTAAATCATAATTGGCAGTTCTCTACAAAGTGACACCAATTGTCAATTTGTCAATTTGTTTATAAAAATTGATTTTTTTTTAAGTTTTTCGAACTTTTGCGGCTTGTAGCTCAGTAAATAATGCAAATTCAGTTATTGAACTTTAAGGCAATTTTGTTAAGCTATTAATTATTTTACATTTGCAATTGTTTATTTAATTTTCAGTCAATTTTTTTATAAA